GATCGTAAATAATTCAATCACAAATATTTTGTGTTTGTCTTATCTATTATTTTATCTAATGTAATTCTTTTTTTTTTCGTTTTATTATAATAAATGTAACAACAATCGAATTTTTTTTATACATTGTATAAATTGTAAATTTAGGATAATTACAGTTAAAATGATTTACTATATATAATAACCATCAACATGATAATTTACCCCAATTTATAGTATACCACCTTAAAAATCTCAAAAATTTAACCATAAAAATCTAAAACTATTTTTATAGTTACCCCATTTTACCCCCACATTTTTTTTAAAAAACCCGTTTTTTACATACCACTTTTTAAGAAAATTTTCCAAAATTTACCTCATTTCATACATACCAGATTCAATATAATTGTTCGGGGTCCTCTGGACACCCTATCGGGAATGCTACAATGACGAGGGACATTTCGTGTCACCCAGACTAATATGCACGCGTTTTACGCGTCTATATTTAAAGACAGTGGAATATGCATAATTTTTAATTTTCCTATAGTTAACAACTAATCTAACTAATCTTAACACACTATGTCAAAATTATATAACGGTTACAACGAGCTAGTTGCATACCTGAATCAACGCTATAACAAGTCATTTCGTGGTTTTCTTCACTGTTGCCGAGAAGTAGTTATTGCTTCGTCGATGTCAGCTTTAACTTTAACTACTTCTTGGTATGATCTTGATAGCTTTTGGGCACTCAACTTCATAATGGAAGCGAAGAAGTTGGAACCTTCTGTAAATGAAAAGGTGCGTATTTTTTATTTTACATAGGAAGGGTAACTCCTAGGTGGATCCGTTCTGTCTCAGGAGAATTACTGAATATGACCTGCGTGGTAGCCACTCCATGTACTCTATTCAGGCGTCCTAAATTTATCGTTGGTAAAGGACTGATGGTTCGGAAGGAGGAACCAACTATGTGTCTTTCTTTATCACTAAATAAAAAATTTTATGCACTGCTAATGCAACAGGTAAATTTCGAACGACAACGTTATGTTAAAGAAATCGAATTATATTACTAACTGATGTGTTATTTTGTAGAAACGGAATATTCTGGACTATGAGAATGAAAAGAGCAGATAATTTCGGCTTTGGCTGATATTAATGAAAAATTAAGAGTCACGAAGGCCGAACTTGCTGTTTTTACCAGTAAGTTTCATTATAATAATGGATCTGAGAACTTCGGTAAAAATTTTGAGGAAAACTTTGGAGATTCAAACATTGACCCCAGTGGAAGTTCCTATGACTTCGGTGAAAGATTTGATGAAAACTTTGGTGATCCAAACACAGATCCCAGTGAAATTCTTGATCCCTTTATCACCACATATACCTATACCCAGTGATGTGCATTTTATGCTTCCAATGTATAAAATTTGATTGGAAGCTTCCAATCCAAATGAATTTATTAGAGTATTATGCTTCCAACCCTTCCAAAAGTGCTTCCAAGAGTGCTTCCAATCTTCCAAGTGCACATCACTGCCTATACCCTCAATACCATCATCTCCACCACATATACCATCACCAGTACCGGAAACTTGCTTAAATTGTCAGTTGCACTGTCCAAGTGATTAAAAGTTTCTTTAATACATGATGGATTTTTCTTAAATGAGTCTATTCCTGAAATGATGTGTAAATTTATGTGGACTCTCGAAGAAAATTTGGAATTATTTGACGATACTAAATAAGTATAACGCTTAAACAAGAAAAACAATTGATTACTTTAATGCTTATATGTAAATTAAACTTATTTTATATACTACGATAATTGTATAACAATTCTACAATAATGTATTTTTCTGCGAACATTTATTAAATATAAATCTTTGGTTTTATTACATGCTGTCACATGGTTTAAGAAATACTATTTAGCGATGAGAGTTACATAACATCGGCATCTGTTTGAATGATCGCGAACTTGAATTTATTTTATTGCTTGACATATCATAACTAGATAACATATCATTCATCATGTATCAACGCTCCTTATTGCAAACTAGTAAATATGCATGGTTCTTGCCATTATCTTGATCCAATGCCACAGATTTGTTATTATCTTGCTTGTCAGTCCACAATACAAACCTCAAATATAAAACTGATTTGAGATGAAATACTTTTCTTCCAGAGTGGAAAGAAAATAAGCTTGGTTATAAGTCAGATTATTTGGTTGCTTTGGTTGAGGTATGGAAGTCTCATGTATTATAAATTATTAATGGCACAGTCAGAAATTACCTAATATTGTGTTACTATAAGCGCCTACCCCCCTTATAGGAGGGAGAGAAGTTTACAAGTGCAAGGGATGCAATGTGGGATGTAATGGAACGCGGGGGATATTTCTTCGCGCGTTGCTTGATGGAGCCATATGCATGCATATGTAGGAATTGGTAATCATGCTTAGCGAATCCTAGTTACAATCCATCCGAAAATACATTTAGTTAAATCCTGTAAACTCTCAACCTAATCGACTGATTTTTTTGAACTGTTGATATTTATTTCATTGTTACTCCGACGTTAAGTGATGTATATACGTGAGGTGCATTTTCAGTTAAAAAAATAAAATTTTGCCTTTATATGGTTTAATAAATGATTTTGAAGTAAAAAATAAAAATTGCTTGATTTTTCGTTTAAAAAGAAATATTTCCACATTTGATGTTTAACTTCTTAGGCCAGAAATACCTCAAAGTACCGTGCGTTTAGAAATTTAAAAATTACCGTTGAAATGACTTGTTTTTTGCAAGTAGGAAAAAAATTTTATTTTTCTGTTCAAATAATTAAGTTCATTTTAAAGTCAATATTTTTATTAACATTGTTATTATCGAATAGATCCTTTTACCGATCGGAAAAGTCATGTTCCGATAACCTTAACATGATAATCAAATGACAATATGTATAACTTGCTTCTATTGTTATAAAGTACCTTGATGCTGGTTATTATAAGAATCGAGTAAAAAACAAATTAAAAATTCAAAAAAGATAGTTTACTTTTTTTATCTGATGATTAATCAATCCATCTTACGCAAGTGTATGACAGTATTAAATTAATCGCAACTGCATTACATTTGACTTTATCGGCACTTGTACTCAAGATAATCTGAACTTAATCTTTTGTTTACGATTGGTATCAATTTGGGGTTTTTCTCTTTCTTCCACCCCAAAATTAACGTTATAAATTCCTATAGCAAATTTTGTCAGTTTCAACCTTTAATGAATCAGATATGAATACCTCAAAAACTTTTGCTGCTTTCTTTATCCTCTTCCTCGCTTTAATCTCTTCCACAAATGCTCACATGAGTCTTTTAGCTCCGAAATATAGAGGAAGTGACGAAGGCAAGGCAAGCGAGGCCCCTTGTGGAGGTTTTAGTGATGTAAACAAAGCTGCCATATCCGAATTTCCAGTTACAGGTGAGAATTCTTTGAAATTTTCGAACACGCATATTTCATCGTAAAAAAAAAAAGGGAAGCACTTCAACGGCCCGTTTATGTTGTTTAGAATGGCGGAATTCTTTTTTTTTTTTAAAAAAAAAACTTTTCAGAAACCATTTTTAAATTTTCAAAAATATATTTGTAATAAGAGATACTGTATCTTCAATTAGTTCAAAAGATTACTCTCATTTCGCTTGCTGATCGTCCAATTGTAAATTTGGTTTGTTATATATAGATGGTAGAGCAACAACCAAGTACGAAGATGGTAATGGAATGATGTATTTCAACTACGCTCCCACCTCTGATGGTCCTTTCATGCCCGTTTCAGGTATAAACTCTTTAAATTTATAAGGAATTTATTTTTTTTAAAAAAAATATTTTAAATTAAGGGGATTCTTTTAATATGCACAGAAAATGTCACAGTTAACGTTCCCGAAGATACTAATAATGGTGTTCAATTTTCAACAAATATTAATCTCTCTTTAGCAAATGCTAAAGTTGGTGACTCAGGTGTGCTACAAGTTGTTTATAATTCAACCACTGGAGTTACTACGTGGTATCAATGTGCTGATATCCATGTTGTAAATGTTAATGATGCCAAATCCGTTGGCGTCAACATGCATCTTGAAGTCGCTTCCCTTATATTTAGTATTGCTTCTTTGTTAATGATTCTAAATTAATTTTTACAGTCGAGGCTTTGACATTATTATTTTCCATGTAAAAAAATTTGGTTAAAAAAATATATAATGCTTGTTTTGAAAAAGTGTTAATCATATCAATGAAACATCCCTATTTTAAAGTTATGCTGAGGGAAAAAAATATAATAAATCTCCTTTAAAATGCACTTTTTTTTTTTGCAAAGAAATTATTAAATATATCGATATACAAAAATGTTAAATTATTAATGGAATAGAATCAGATTCATTAATTACGTAATAAAATGATTATTAAATACGAATATTTTATACATTAAAAGTTTTACTCAAAAAAATGATTTTTTTTTTATTATATCCACAATAAATCTTGAATTCTTTAATACTGCTCGAAAATTTTAGTGTTCGACTCGTGAATTTATTGATAAAAGTCAAAAAAAAAAAAAAAAAAAACCGGTATACAGAAATTCCGAAACTCACGAATTGGGAAATCGTTAAAATATTATTTTAGCTTTGTGTAATAACAAATAAACCTTAATCCCTTGATTTGCAAATTGCATTTACTGTATAAATTTCATTATTGTAAAAAATATTTTTATATATACACTGTATATTTCTAATTATGAAAGACAACAAAACAATTTCTTGCTTTTCTTTCATCATAACTTTGCTTCTCCTTTTAATAACTACGATAAATGCTTTATTACCTGATGAAACAAGATTTAATGAATGTGAAGGAGGACCTTATCCAAACACCATTTCAAATTTTCAAATAAATCCTGAACCGTTAGTAATAGGACAAAGCGCATCATACACATTTAATGGAACGAGAAATGTAGAAATTCTTGAGGGTTCCATAATAGAATTCTTATTAATTGATGAAAAGAATGAAATAATATTTAAAAAGATAGAATATATTTGTTCAATTGTGAATGAAAAATGTCCTTTACCAATTGGAAATTATGAATTTACTTATGGGTTAAATCTTAATATTCTTGAAGAATCTGAAAATGTTGATATGCCGCCAAAAACTTTTCTTCTTTATTTTACAAGTAAGCAATTCTTTGTCTCATTACTTTTTAAAAAAGGTAAATATTTAATTTATATTAAATTTTTTTTTTTAAAAAAAAAATATTAGTTAAGGATCCGAAAGAAATTATTTTATCATGTATACAAGGTCCTGTTGAATTATCTTATGTTTTTACAGCTTCATTAAATGGTAATAAGAAACGTTATTTTCATTGATTATAATACAATAAAATTGAAAGAAAAAAACATAAAAAACAACTTAAGATTCAATCTTTAATTTAATTCATAATACAATACAATAAAAATTTTGAAACACAGTTAAATTTATCGGATTCATTATAAATTTTAAATCTCAAGAAATATTTTTAATAATAGAATCTAAATTTTTAACTTTCAAGTGAAATTCATGATTATTAAATTCTTGTTCAATAACCTAAATAAATCAACAAATTAATAACCATCCCACAAAAGTTTTCAAAAACTACATATCAAATTTGCATTTACCTCAACTTTAACAGGAGTTGAAACAGCAACAACATTGGAAGTTTCAGGTTTAAATAGATTTAATACATATTTCGTTAATATTGGATAAATATCTTCAATTTTAACGGCCTAAAATTTAAAGTAATTTTTTAATTATACAAAAATGGTAAACATAACCCCCCCCCCCCCATCAATTTACAATACCTGAACTTTTGCTATTTGATCTTTATTATAATTCGCATCCATATTTTTTAATACTTGCACCATGAACGTCTCAGAAGCCTAAGAAAATTAATTAATTTTTTTTTTTTTTAAAAAAAAAAGTTTTGAACACTTACCGCTGAAGTAGGATTATGCTACGAGATCAAAAGTAAGAAAAAAAAATTTGTATTTCGATTAAGTTATTAATACTTCCAAATCATCAACCTCATTTTGATAACTTGTTTATCATACCTCTTTTCTAACAAGTTTAAAGATCAAACTACTCTTAGCTCCTTCAAATTTAGACTTATCAAAATCAATCTAAGAAACATAAAATGGCTTATTAATTAATGTTCAAATGGATTCTTTCTATAAATAATAATATATACCGTCTTCTCAGCCAAACCAAAAACAACTTTTCTAGCTTGTTCAAAAGCTTTAAAAGCATCGGGAGATCGATAAATAATAAATTCGAGATGTCCTATATAAAATTTTCTTTTTGAATTAATTACGTATTTTAATATCCAACAATAAAATTACAATATTCTTACCACTTTCAACATCAACATTGAACCAAGTACCATAAGCTAAACCCTGACCACGAATTGTAATCCATAATAAACCTTCAAGAATATCCAAGAATTCACATAATACATATAACGGTACGAGGTCTGGTGAATCGAAACTCAATGGACCTTTGGTTATATGCGCTGAAAAAGAACTTTCAATAGATGGTAATTTAACAACATAACCCTAGATGTATGTATAAATTTGTTAATTTAAAAGGTAATCAAATAAATTACAAATAATCGAGCGTCATACCTGATTCCCAGGATTTCTTCCATATTCTGTCAAAACTTGTTGAGATAAAGGAACTGGTGTTAATTGTTTAGAAGTCTACCCATTCCAAAAGTGTTTTAAATTTTCCAAGTCAATAAGTTACATCATATAGATAGCATTATCAAATTTTAACAAATAAACGCTTACTTCAATTATCTTAAAATGTTCAGCCCAAACACTTTTTGGATTAGGAAGATTTAAAATATCCCCTATAACATGAATTCTAAAATTCTCGGGTTTGGTCACTAATTAAAACGTATATCATCATTGAACTAATTATTCTTAAATTAAAAAAAAAATTTAAAGAAATTCTTTCTCACATAATCCTCTAAGTTGATAAAATCTTTGAATAACCTGATCAGGGTCCTTGCCCAATTCATTAATAAAATTTTTTATAAATCTCTCTTGATACAGAGATGAAAGAGAACATTTATTTGATAATTTGGAATCAAAGTTAATCAAATCTGAAACTACTGATGCCATCTATTAGAAAAGTCAAAAGAGGAACATTAGATAAGAATAAATATTATAATTAAATACAATACAAAATTAAAGGTTTACCCCGTGTCCATCACGCTTTTCTTCTGGAATCTCATTAAGGAGTTTCGAAGCTATGACCTTTAATCTGAAAGTAATATATTAAATATCACAAAGCAAAATACTAAAGGTGTCGTGATATATTGCATACCTATCAGCGGTAAATTCCGTGTTCCATAGTAAATCACGTAACCATTGGATACCTTTAACATAATTACTAGCTTCAACCTTAATATGAATTACAATCATTTGATCAAAAAATTTCCCAACTCCTAAAGAAGAATGATAATCCACGGTATCATTATTCAATTCTGATACAACTTGTTCAAATGTTAACTTGGTTCCATCAGGAAGAGTAAGTGGAAGAAAGTAAAATGATTCAAGGTACAAGTTAATGTAGGGTCGTAATTCAACTGGTATAGCTGTAGTGTTGATATATAACGATACTGTTACAAATGCGGAACTGAAATCTGTAAAAAAAAAAAAAAAAGAATTACATTAGATAAAATAATAGATAAGACAAACACAAAATATTTGTGATTGAATTATTTACGATC